AAGAGTGGCGATACCGGAGGGTGGAGCGAAGGTGAGGTGGAAAGGGGGAACTGATTACAAGGATCTACATATAACCTCCTCCCTGGGGTCGGACAACAGAAAAGTGGGTGAAGGGATACGTTGGACAGTGTATGATATGACAAAATAATAATAATTTATAAATTATCAAGGGTTCTTGAGGGAGGGGGGAGTGGGGAGTGGGGGCAGAAATGAGCTGATGCCAGGGGCTTAAGTGGAGAGCAAATGTTTTGAGAATGATGAGGGCAATGAATGTACAAATGTGCTTTACACAATGGATGGATGTATGGATTGTGATAAGAGCTGTATGAGCCCCCAATAAAATGATTTTAAAAATGTGTCACATAAATACATTTACTAACCTATCTTTGCCCCTATTTAATAGTTCTTAAGGTCAGTGGTTAGGGGTGACTTTTTATAGATTTCTCTATTCTCTCAGGCCTAGTGTCAGTTACTTGCCTCATTATTAGTATTATTTACTTGCCCTATTATTAATTCATTCAACAAATACTTTTTGAGCAGAGTCCATATGCAATCCAGTGGACTCACTATTGGGGATACAGGAGTAAATAGCTTTAAATTTTTTATTCCATTTTATTACATATTATATGAGGGAGATAGACCAAGATATCTGAAGTTGGGTAGAGAGATAACAGGGGTGTGGGCTAGCATAGTACAGGGAGAAGTGGGAGGTTTGGCTGGGCTTAGGAAATGATTAGCGGGGGAAGCTGGACCTAGTGGATTCTCATTTGTAGGTTGCTCTTTAGTAGAAAGATGAACTAGTCTTCACCCGTGAACTTGAGAGCCTTGGGAACCCTGTGTGGCAGTTCTATTCTGTTCTATGAGCTGGAATCGACTCATAGACAACAGTTTTGTTATTGTTATTTGCATCCCATAGCATCTAGCATAAAGGCTGGCAAACGATGACGCCCACCCATAAATCACACTATTGTGCTCAAACTTGGGGCTGGTATTCACCATCTTGGCCCTAAGGAGGAAAATGATAAATGAAGGAGCTTCTGCCATAGCTGATGACCACTCCCCTAGGCAGGGTCACAGCCAGGGCCAAGCCGCGGGTTGCGGGGGTGGGGGTGGGTGGGGGGTGGAATGGTCCTGTTCGGCTCCAGCTCCAACCCAGCCTCGACTCCAGTCCCGGGTCCGCTCAGGCCCTGGCCCCGCCCACGGCTCGGCGAGCTCCGCCCACGGGGCCGCGCGCGCCGCCGCCACCATCCCTGCGCGCGCGCGCCTAGCTCCGCCCCTGTTGCTGACGTGAGGGGCGGGGCGTCCCGGGCGGGCTCCGACGAGCCTTGTGCTTCCGCAGGCTCCGGGGTCGCTGGGGCCTCGTGGCACGGCCGCTCCGCCGGGCCCCGCCGCCTTCCCTCAGTTCCCTCGTGGCCTCTCGCGGCGCCCGGGGGCGTGGGGCTCAGCTGGACACCCAGAGGAAGGGTGAGTGTTGGCGGGAGCAGGATGGGGCCGGCCGGGCGCGCGCCCCGCTCTCCGGGGCATTGTCTGGGCGGGGGCGGCGCGGGCACGTGCGCCCCTCCCCCACGCCGCTGGGCCGCCGGGAGGCCGGGCTCCGCAGTCCTCCGGAGCCTGAGGAGGGAGGGGAACGGGTGGCTGCAGCGAGGAGAGGGTTCCGAGCGGGAGGCTGGGTGCAGGGTGAGTGTGTGTGTCGGGGTGTCCTAGAAGCGGGAACCCGGAGTCTGGGGGTGTGTGGAGGGAGGGATCCTTTGCAAGGGGGTTTGGAGCCCTCCGAGGGGGTCCCGGGTAACGGAGCTACAGGAATCCAGCGTTCAGGATGTTAGGCTTGGCCAGCTTGCTGATGGGATTGGAGGCGAGATTTGGCCCCAGCAAGTTGTAGATTTACCTACCTGAACCTGGAATCGCCCTCCAACCTGTCGCCATCCCGTCTGTCCCCATCCCCGATGAAGGATTTAGAAAGGTGGGCGCAAATTTCAGGGCTAGTGCCAGAGACGTGAGCGACACTAGGGTCAAAAAGCTTGGCAAAGCAAATACTTAGGAAAAACCTGGGTTGATTTTTGGTTAAATTGCAGAAGACAGGTTTATAACAACCTTTCCCCCTCCTCCCTTTTCTCTCATTTCTATTTTGAATGTAAGTATCAGAAAAATAGAGAGGGGGGAATATCACCAAAACCCCCCCAAGTCCCTGACCCCTCCATTCTTAGAGTTTTGATGTGTGTCTAATAGGACCTTCATTTATACACATTTCTTGTGTTGCAATTAGAGTTTACATAGGATTTTCTATTCCCCTTTTCTTAAACATGGAAGAAGGCACTGTCATGTGACAGTATTTGGCAATAGCGCTTTTTTAGTAAACAAATAGCAAGTCTTAGTCATAGACAAACATTTTTTAAGACACAAGAAAAAAATACTTGTAGTATTGAAGTCCAAAGGTACTGTATTTGTTGGGTGTGAATACTTTCTTCCAAGATAGGGGCAGATGATGCCCTGATCAGGCCGTTTTTTTATGAGAAACCTCTGAAGGCTTGTTTTCATAGAGAAGGAGCACCAGTTAGGATGCTGTTCGCTGTAGCTTTGATCAGGTTGGTGGCAGTGGCGCCGAAGAAGCATGTAGGTAGAATGAACAAGGCTTGGTAATGGTTTGCTGTGGAACATGAGGGGAAGGGAGGAATCAAGGATGCCTTTGCCTTTTAATTGGTTTTGAGCAACTAAATCGCTGGTGATTCCATTTACTGAGATGGAGAAGAGTGAGGAGGAAAGCATTTGAAGTATGAAAGTAAAGAGCTCTATGTTGGACATGTTACATTTGAAGTGCATGATATGCACGCCAAGTCACTATGTTGAGGCATTTGGATGTCCAGCTCTGGCGCTCAAGGAAGAAAGAAGGTAGGGTTGGAAATAAAATTAAACTTCTGGGGGGAGTCATTATATAGGTGACATCCAAAGGTGTGAGACCATGAGCTCACCTGGGGAAGGCATGGTAGAGAAGTGGCAAAGGCTCAGACACTCCATCTTTTAGAGGTCTGGTAGAGGAGGGGAGTCTGGGGGCAGTGGTAGATGTGTTGCCTTCCTTGCAGGAGATGCTGGGTTCTGTTCAGAGCTAGTGTACCTTGTGCACAGTCACTACTTGTCTGTCAGTGCATGCACGCGTGCTGCTCTGATGTTAAGCACGCTTCAGTAGTGCTTCTGGACAAAGTGTGCTGGGAAGAAAGGTCTGGTGATCTACTTCTGAACATCAACCAGTGAATACCCACTGGATCACAGTGGCCATGTCCACGCTGGTCATGGAGATGGTGTGGGACCAGCCAGGGTTCAGTTCTGTTGGCAAGGCAACTCCATGGTAGCTAACTACAGAGGAAGAAGATGGGACTCACCAGTAAAGTAGGAAAAAAAAGAATAGTACGAGAGGGCTTCAGGAAGCTTATGAGAAAATGGAATTAAAAGATGATGAGATTTTTCTAGGAGCTTCTTTGGAAACCCCCTAGTGTTACTGAAGCCAAGAGAGATGAATTTCTGGAAGGTAAAATTGGTCCTCGTATTGGTGCTTGTGAGGGTGTGTGGTTAGATGGTCAGTTGTATCTGGCAGCATGAAGGTTATTACTAACCAGCGTTCTAGAACTGGGAGGTGTGAACCAGATAGAATAAGCTAAATAGATGTAAGTAAAGACAGTAAGTGAAAATTAGGGAAAATGTGCTCTTCAGGACACTTATTTCCATCTGTCTCAAATGGAATTTGATAGATTAAAAAAGGGTTTCTTGTTTAATAGTTTATTTCCTGCCCACTAGTATTCTAGAGTAGCCCTGGTGGCTAGTGGTTATAACTTGGGCTGTGATCCGCATGGTCCACTGTTTGAAACCACCAGTCACTCCAAGGGAGAAAGATGGGGCTTTCTGTTCTCGTATACAGTTAGAGTCTCAGAACCTCACAGGGGCTGTTCTACCCTGCCCTACCAGGGTGCTAGGCGTCACCATCAACTCAATAGCAGTTTGTTTAGTGTGCTGGAAGATTTGTTTCTAATTTATGACCAGTTAAAAATTGTGGTTCCTGTCCTCTGCCCTTTTTTGTTAGTGTTTGTCATTCTATAGTTGATTGTTCGTGCACTGTAGATATTATACATAGCTTGACATCAAGCTTGCAGGATTCCCCCACCCCACCCCTTTGTTTTCCATAGGAGGCCTGGTGGTGTGGTGGTGCATTGATCCTCATGGTCAGCAGTTTGAAACCAGCAGCTCTGAAGGAGAAAAATTTTTACTCCCGTAAACAGTCTCAGAAACCCACCAGGTCTCTGAGTCAGCATTGACTCCATGGCAGTGAGTTCGGTTTGTTTTATTTTCCGTACCTTTTTAAATTCCTGCATATTACTTCAGCACTACCAGTACCAGTGCAGTGGGTGCATGCAGTTTGACATGGCCGGTGTCCGGTTTGTTCATGATTAAGTATAGAGGAAGAGGAGAACGGAGGTTTGTGTTGAAGTTCTTGATTACTGTTCACGTTTGATGGCATCGTTCTGCCTGGCAGTAGTGTTTCCCTCAGCTAGAATGAGGTTGGGGGAGCCTTTTTCTGCATAGGGCCGTTTAGATATTTATAACAGCATTCAAGAGTCATACAAAATTACCAGCTTAAAAAATTAGCCTGCCGTATTTGGTCAAACATTTAATCCAGTCAACCCTAATGTGATGACTGGAAGCGCAGGTGTAGGGCTGCAACTGCAAGATCGTCAGTTCGAAACCACCAGTCACTCCACAGGAGAAAGATGAGGCTTTGTACTCCTATAAAGAGTTACAGTCTCAGAAACCTAAGGGCCTCTTCTGCCCTTGAGTCCATGGTGCCATGAGTCTACTTTCACTGGGTGTCAGCGAGTAATCTGATGGCTGGATTACTTCTCGTTGAAGAGGCATGTGATGCTAGCTGGTGTGGATGATTCCACAGGCAGGGGTTCCCCACTCTTGGGCTAGAGTCTTAGCAATATTTACTCTCTCTTTCAACTTAGATTTTTATTCCCATTTTCATTGCCACTTCCTTCAGCGATTCCATCTCCCTGCCTTAAATCCTGGCCCCTTTCCATCTGTTTTCCACATGGCCACAGAATGGTGGGTGGGGGTCAGTGCATTTTTCTCTCCTAGAAACCAAGGCTTGGAAAGCAGATTACTTCTCTATTATCTGTTCTGTGCAAGTTCAAGAAACACATTTCCAAAGGCTGGAGTGTGCCTCATGGTTGAGTTGGAATTTAATTGGATTCTTGAAGGATGAATAGATTTCAGCAAGCAGAGAGAGAGAGGTGAAATATGAACCCATTGGAAGGTAGTTGTGAGATGTTCAGGCTTGTGAACTTTGATGACTGCAGACAGAGAGGTAGAAGAACTAGTTCCCCTAGCCAAGGATCATTTGTTCTTCTCTGAAGAGAGCCACGGAGGTGGGGGTGGGGGTGGGAAGGTCTTTAAGCCTTTAAGACCCCAGGCGCTATGTCTTTTGGTAGCCGGGCACCATCAGCTTTCTTCACCACATTTGCTTATGCACCCATTTGTCTTCAGTGATCATATCATGGAGGTGAGCACACAATGATATGATTTTTTGTTCTTTGACTCCAGATAACTGATCCCTTCTGCACCTTTTGATCACACAGGCTGGTGTGCTTCTTCCATGTGGGCTTTGTTGCTTCTGAGCTAGATGGCCGCTTGTTTGTCTTCAAGCTTTTAAGACCCCAGATGCTATATCTTTTGATAGCCGGGCACCATTAGCTTTCTTCCCCACATTTGCTTATTCATCCCCTTTATCTTCAGCGGTTGTGTTGGGAAGGTGAGCATCATAGAATGCCAACTTAATAGAAGAAAGTATTCTTGTGTTGAGGGAGTACTTGAGTGGAGAGCCATGAGTTTTGTAGAAGATTTTTATTTTTCATCTCATTGGTGAGTTTCTTGCTCATTTTCAAGTTAAATTTATTGGGATAAAAAAACGATGGCCTCTAATAATAACATACTTTGTAATTCAGACTTTCTTTGTGTTCTGATTTTAATTGTTTTTTAGCTATTTCAGGTGGATTACTTTCTGTTGGGTTCATAGTTGTATCTTAAATTGACATGTTAATTGCAGTATTGTGTCTATATGTTATTTGTGTTTTGATATTTTAAAGTTTGGGCAGAGGAGTATTGAGATTCTACGATAATTGTGATTTCTTAAATTCTCCTTGTATTCCAGGTGGCAGAGGTGTGTGTGTGTGTGTGTGTGTGTGTGTGTGTATAATCCTGGTAGATTATAATTTCTAACCGAAAGGTTGGTGGTTTGAACCTACTAGCCACTCCACAGGAGAACAATGAGGCGGTTGGCTTCTATATGATTTGCAGCCTCAGATACTCTCTGGAGCCGTTCTACCCTGTCCTGTGAGGTCTCTGAGTTGGAACTGACTTGACAGCAGTGAGTTTGCTTTTGGTTTTCTGTTGTTCAGTATATGACTTATCTTTGAAAT